CTCCTATCCTCTCTCTCTTATCTTCTACAATTCCCTGTCCAGCGGCGTTTTTCCTGCTGCCTGGAAATATCCTGTGGTTGTGCCCATATACAAGAACAAGGGAAGCAGACACGATCTGGTAACCATCGCCCTATCTCTCTGCTGACCACCTGCTCCAAGATACTTGAGAGAATCGTCTATGATCGGCTGTACCATCATCTGGCACCTCTGCTCCATGATATGCAATCTGGGTTCCTCCATTGTGACTCTACCTCCCTACATCTAACCAACCTTGTCCAGCGACTGTGCACCCTCCGACACCGCCGGCATTACATTGGTGTACCGCAAGGGTCCACCCTGGGACCGCTACTGTGCCTGGCCTTCGTCAACAACGATCTCCCTGTCCTCAACCCTGGCGTGTCTCTGTTGGCAGGCGACATTTGTATGCTGCGCACTAGTCGGACTGTCCCTCTGTTCCCCGTCTTATACTGGACCTTCAAGCGGGTATCACGGATATCGCCTCATGGATGACATTGGGGAAGCTAAAACTTAACGTCGGGAAGACCAAGGTAATGATCATCCCCCCACTGTCTACTACTCTCTATCACCCTCTCCCTCCCTTAGTATTCCATTTCTCCACCACTCCCATAGAATATGTAGATCATCACAGGCATTTCGGAGTCCTTTTTGACACCAACCTTTCCAGTAATCACCATGTTTCCCACATATGTAAGTCTAAGAAGACTAGTCAGGCCATAGGTATACTCACATGGCGGCGCCCATCTTCCTGACAGCTATGGTGGTCTTTTTAATATTGCATATAATAATCTTGCCACATTTTGACTACTGCTGTACTGCCTACACAAATATATCTACTGCCCAAGGACAGAAACTGATTATGTTGTCCTCGACCAGACCTCTCCTAGAAAGACGACGAATCCTGATGTGCTGTCCTCTCCATATCGTATTCGACTTTCCAAAATACCCCCGCATATTAAACAATTTGACTGGTTTCTTCAGGATAGGTCCACAAGGAACCTACTCTCCCTTCCTCTAGCCTGCTCTTCTGCATTGCAACACTCCCCCTTTCAATGGCTATTCGCAGTGGCTTTTGCTGCACCAGGAGACAAAGGACCTTTCTACTTTAACAGCATTCAGGAATGCCTTGCTTTAGACCACCATGTTAGTCCATGTTTGCTTCTTTTTCTTCTTTTCCTTTTCTTTTGACTTCTTTCTCTTTTCCTTGCTAGCCGTGGTTGGCTATAAAAACCCTGCAATCGCCACGCAAAGTGGTCATTGGCTGCCCCAGCGATGTATTGCTTGGAATAGAACTGGAATCGACTCGGATGGAGAGCCAAGGAGAAAAAAAAAGGACCAAAGAACGTGCAATGTTATCGCATGAGCTGATTGTTTAGTATCTAGGGGTGTAAGTGGACATTATAGCGTAACTTGTAGTTCCTTGTTCCTTTTTCTTTTCTATAAAAACTGGAATTCTGCAATATTATGTTTGTAGGTGCGTGACTAATATAATAATATAATAATATTCGCGGGATCCGCGTTAGCATCACTTGAATGTTCAGAAACACACAAGCTATAGCCTTCGCTTCCGCAGGCCACCACTATGCCTTTGCGTGACTACTACTTCATATCATGTACTACAATTCGTACATGACTTTTAAGTCATGCCACATATCCTTTCTTGCTGAACCCACATATTGTGATACAGATTGTAGATAGCCATTTGAGGTAAAATAAATAGCCATTAATGGAAAAAAAGGAAGAAGAAGAGAAGGTTATTGTACCATGCCAGCCGGCTATTATTAAATAATGATTCTTCACTTCAGGCTCTCAACCAACAACATAAGTACAATATGTACATGACTGTACATGTACATATACATAATTGTACATGCACATGCATATTGTTAGATTGACAGCATGAAACAAGGTGGAGGACACTGTGTTCGGAAACAGTGACCTTACTACAACCTTCCGCGGTTGGCAGAGCCCCAGTCCCTGCGGACCATTTGAACCATATGGGTGTTGAACCCGATTCTGACCCTCATTATGCGGGGGGGGGGGTGGGGGGGGGGGGGTTGGAGACTACTCCTTGTGTCCGTCGTGTATTCTTTGATCGCTCCTGGATGTCGTCCTGGTAGTCATCTAACAATAATAACAATATGACAATAATTATGACAATATAACAATATGACAATATGCGTGAACTATAACAAGGTTTATCTAATACTACAGTACAGTGCTAGTTTTGAACTAGTACTGCCATTATTGGGTTATAATTATAATGATTGTACATAATGTTCGTGGATGATGTCTAAGTGTCTGGTGGTGCCAGGTGACATACAATGTACATGTACATGACTCGACTGTGGTCATCCCCCCCCCCCGTCATACTCACAGCACACTACTGGTGTTACGTCACAGTCTACGTGCCTCGTCAGAAAGCCTCTTACCCTCTTAGGTACAATACACGCAACTGCAGGCTGTTGTAGGCAGTATGATGCTAGTGTCGAGCCAACTAGCTGTAATTACTACTAGTATTCCTAATTAATGAACATGATTCGATTGGTGGATAGCCATTGGCGGACTATGCTCAGCCAATCGTCAAATTATGCTTTTGATTATGCCACAATTATGCTAACAAATATGCTGAATTATGCTCGGTTCCACTATGTATTCACGCTGTACATAGAGGATTGAGAAACCACGCATACACACACGGCCATGCCCTAAGCATAATTTTTGTCTAAACCGAAAGATTATGCCGACCTTACAAGTTGGAATCCGTATTATTATGCCGGAGCATAATTTTTTGACGAAATACCAAGATTATGCCAAATATTATGCCGGCATAATCCGCCAAGGGCTATGACAAGGAGTCGTAACTGGGGTATTTAAAAAAAAACATCTGCAGGCTTTCTGACAAAGCTGTATTATGCCCCTAAGCATCATTTTTGTCTAAACCGAAAGATTATGCCGACCTTGCACGTTGGAATCCGTATATTATGCCGGAGCATAATTTTTTGACGAAATCCAAAGATTATGCCAAATATTATGCCGGCATAATTCGCCAAGGGCTATTGGTGGAGCTACAGGTACAACCGTACAATGTACATGGCTGAGAGGCATTGCATCACCACTCACGAGTCCAGGCCAGCGCATGCACCTACACCAACACCAGTCCTAAGTAAAGTCATTGTAGAATGTGGTAAAATATGGGTGCAGGAAATGTGCAACTCTACACATGGTCTGGTATAGTGTTCATCGATGTATCCACGTCTGACGGTCTGGTAACAACAGCTACATGTACATATACATTTACAGTATAATGAAGGGCTTGAAGGCAATAATTACTACACATTCCGAAGCCAACAAAACAAATTACGACTTCTGGGTCAAACAATCGGAGGTCCGCCCACAGGTTCGCTCCTGCAGGATAGATTCAGGGGTGATGTTTTCACGATGTTGAGTTTCATGATAGAAGAAGAAAAAAGTTTTTTAATAGACTTCTCCTAACGTCAGTCGTGTATTCTGTGATCGCTCCTGGATGTCTTCTTGATAGTCATAAAAAAAATTGTAGCTATTTTAACCCGAATTGTTTTTCTTAAGTAGCAGTACTGAAGAGACTTGGCAGCCGTCGGTCCAGGGCTATTGTCAAGAGGTAGTAATAACTATCGTCATTAATAATTATTGTGTAAACCATACCAAAAAACAAGCATTTCGGACCTTTCAGTTCAATCGTTTGGATAATTGGCATTCCACTGTTGTAAATTTCCTGACATGACTGTATACATGTATGTACAATGGAAGGTCGTTGTGGGCTTGGTATAGACTATAGCCTAGTATAGGCTATACACCTTAGTGTCGAATGCAGATCTCACAAGTGAGTCACAAAGCACTAAGGTGTAAAGGCATAGTGGTGGCCTGCGGAAGCGAAGGCTATAGCTTGTGTGTTTCTGAACATTCAAGTGATGCTAACGCGGATCCCGCGAATATTATAGGCTATACTGAGTATAGGGTGTGGTACGGTGTGGTACGGCGTGGTGGTCAGTGGCTTGATTATGAACTGCCCGTAACTGGCGTAAGACTAAGATTAAGAGTAAGAGTGATAATGACAGCGTGTCATTACTGTGATCTCACTCAGACTGTCAGAGAGTGCCTCTCCGATCCCCGAGTGCATGCAATTATTTAGGGCACTGCATGCCTGGTTCAGTCGCCGATCCCGGAACTGTTACTCTTCGCCGGTGTTATTGTAATGTTAGTACTGTTTTACACTGCACTGATATCCGTGTATTCATTCACTGACTGCCCGGACTGCTACTACTAGTACTAGTATTACGATTGCCAGGAGTTCGAGTGTCGGCAGATGCAGACGTACATGTACGTAGCTACGTAGATCGATCAGGCCACGGCCGGCAGCACACGTGCTTCACACGTGACATCTAAAATTGCTCTGTATGTGCGTGTATATACGTCATTATACGTATGCACTCTGCGGACTAGTCGACTGTGCATGTGGAGCGTGTCGTGGAGGTACATGTACACGGGCACGTAACGACATAATTATGTATGTATGTGCAGGATGCCAATGCGGCTATACTGCGAACACAAGGCAGTCTCGATCCTCTTGATCTTGACACCTGGTCCTGTAGCACCATGTACAGCTTGTACTGGGTCTCCGTCCTCGGCCTAAGCCTAACTGTACTGGCCTATCACTATTACTAGTATTAGTATTGCTACGTTGACCATTGCGGCATTAGGACAAAATACCGGCATACTGTACTACATGCAGCTGTTGGTTGCTTTTCTGCTGTGCGAATAAATAAAAATAATAAATAAAAAAACTCTAAAAAAAAAAATACATGCAGCACGGACACAGAAGTCAGAACGGTTGGCCAATTGGTGGGTTTCACGCTGAGCGATCATCGATGATCAGGCAGGCCACACTTTTCAAGTGCTGGGGGCATAACCGTTACATCCCTGATACATTCTTGATACATCACTGTATGGTGAGAATCTTAACCCGCACTCTGCCGTTCCTTCATCTTTCCGCTGTTTCTCCTCGCGGGGCACGATTCTTGTCGAGGAGATACACGTACATGTACTAGTATATGGGTCACCGAGAGTTGAGAGCTAGCACCAGTTGTTACATCTGTGTGCTGCTGCTGCTGCGTGGATTGGGCTTCTTGTCTTCAGCTCCTTCTTCATAGTGGGTTGGGTGAGAACCATACCTAGACGATCCTACCATTGTATGTTCTAGACAACGTACGCCTTTCCGGACCTTCACTCTGGTTTCAGGAAATTCTAAAGTTTACTTGCACGAATCCTTCCTCACCACGTCTGTTGTTCTCTTCTTCTGATAATTGAGAACACTGCTCTTGCCGGGTAGTGCTAGTCTCGGGTTTGGCACTAATAAGACGTGGAAGTTACTGATTGCCACCACGCCAGGATGACATCGGAAAAATACAGAGACTGCAAGGCATTCCAAAGGTAGGGAAGACCTCCGTGCTGCTGTGACAGTGTGAGTCCACGTAGTTTCCCCTTCCAGCATTATACATGTACATGTAACACACATGTACTAGTAAATGAACAGTTCGTATGGTAGTGTATGGTAGGACACTGATTGAAAATAACTCCGACTGTTCCGCTTCTGTTTTGCAGGTATCAAATGTTGCCTGAACTTTCATCGAGTCTCAGTTCACTTTCAGAGATCTACCCATGGTCACAGTTGTTTGCATACATTCGTCCAATTGGCTTCGTCCGAGCCAATGCATCTGTACCTGAATAGGTCATCTAGGTTACTGAGTATGATGTTCATCCTGCTCAGTTCCTCCCCATGACAGTGATAGTACTGATACCGTAAAAGAAAATTTAACGTCATTGTAGCAGCACTGAGATTTCCCATGATGTGTGGATGGAGGCTACCAGCAGGTCTTTCCACTCACGGATCGGTTTTCAGGAGATACCTCACACAACTCATCGCGCCCGTCAACGGATTCTTCATTTCCCCGAATGGTCCCTTTCGAAATCGTGAGTGCGCGTGTGCTGCTTCAAGGCGGAGATCGAAACAAACAAAATAGCAATAAAGACAGATCAGGCCCTCACGAACCTGCACGCGCGTCTCACCACATCCGGCCACGACACCTATTATATCCTTGCCTAGAACTCTAGGCCTTCTACAAGTTCCAGAAGGCTAGATAGAGGCTAGAATCTAGCTACTGCTGACGTGTGTGCCCGGAGAATTAGAATGCCCGTTGCATTGAACGTAAAATTCACGGTGACGCCAAAATACCTAAAATCTACAATTGTACGGCTTATCATCATGCGCTAGGCCTACTGTGCTGACCATGCTAGTATTTGCTAGTGAGGCTGGGTGCAGATAGAAACTGTAACGACCACCTTTGTCTTGTTTTTCTTGATTTCTGCCTCGAAGCCACGAGCTGTTTCCGCTATTGCAACTGTTAGCCGACAGTCACGATCGCATTCCTGGACAGGATCACCCTGAAGTCATGCACAATGAAATGGAAAACCTCCTTCGTCTCGAGCTGGGCAAGTACGATGTAAGTACATCCTGTGGTGTCATCTTTACCCAGGGGGTACCATTCATGACGAGCGTGTGCATGTGTTTAGGTTCCCCGTACCGTCATTATGTCTCAACAAAAGAATCAAAGCTATCGCAAAAAGAGTAGTTGCGATGAAGATCACCATCCAAAAAATTAAAGATGGTGAGTTTTCCCGTGAACGTTGCCGGATCGAGATTCGACACGGATCCGCACAGCAGAATTCGCTGGGTGATTATCACAACGACGACGAAAGCCCGCGGACAGTGCCAGATCTTATCGGCAAGTAGGTGGCCTGTATGTGCATCTGTGTTTAGGATATTTCACTTTAGTTGCAACGCTAATAATGTTTTGATCCGAAGTTCACATGCTCCGACTTCATACTGCAAGTATTAGGCGATTCAGACTACGGCCGATTGTGGCCACGTTTCTACGACTCAGCTTAGACGTGTTTGATCAGCGACTGTACAGTATCATTTGAAACACGACTGCATCACCATGGAAATTCAAGTTCAGACGTGATTTTGGCCGTAGTCTGAATCGAAGCATTTCACGAGTGAACTAGTTAGTTACGTTTGCTGTGGGGTTTTTTTGTAACCGTAGTGCATTTCAAATAGACTCTACCACTGGAACATCATCTCTTCTACCCGTAACCCGAGGGGTTCCGCAGGGACAATCTTGGGTCCCAACCTTTTTAACAGATATGTGCGACTCTTACCTGACCTGGCTGCAGGGAGAGGTGCAAAGCTGCTCATGTGTGCCAATGACAAGACTTTGTACGCTTCCTCACGGGATTCAATAGTATGCGCCGATGTCTTGTCCTCGGCTCTCGCTAAGCTACACAGTGAACTAAGATCACTGGGCATGAGCGTTAATTAATGTTGACAAAACCGTGGTCATGAGGATCTTGCCGAAGAATGCTCCTGACGTACAAAGACCAGTTCTTGTTGAGCTGGGTGGCACTACCTTAAGGGAAGTGAATGTAATTCGCTGCCTTGGTATCCTTATCGATAACAAGCTCTCGTTTGTTCCATACGTAGATTACCTCACCAGCAAGGTGTCACGCAAGATAGGCGCGTTGCGACGCACCTTCCTCCAAATGGCAGCATTTGCCCGTCGCCAGTACCTGCTTAGTGTGATGCAGCCTGACTTTGAGCATTTTTTCCCTGTTTACGCATCTCACCTATCAGCACAGTTCAGGGAGAGATTGTTTACCTTGTTCTGTCGAGCTGTACGAGTTACCTGCGGTGCTTCATACCATGCTGCTGTTCCACCCCTTCTTGCTTCTCTTCAAATAGAACACCTTGGATGTCGACACATTTATCATTTCCTTACGTTTATGTACGCAGTAACTAACGGATGGGACAAAGGCATTGTACAGACCCCGTGCATTTAGCACTTACCATCGACTATGAGTTACAAACCTATCGTCGTTGTCTGTTATTCTTGTTTTATTTTTTGATCTTTCGAATAGATCCCGTGCATTGAGCACCTATCATCGAACATGAGTTATGTGCCTATCGCCTGCTGTCTTTTTACTTTTATTTTTTATTTTATTTTTTGTTTTCCTCTCCGCCCGCTCTGCCTGTCTTCTGGCACATGCGAATATGTGGACTTACTGTTGACGTAAACGCGGACGTGCGTATAATAATTACGTTTACGTTTATTTGTCATATTGTTCAGCCTGCATCATGCTTACGCAGTCTTTTCCCTTTGCCCACCTCTAAGCGGTCAACTCGTGGAACTACAACAAACAATTTGTCAATTTGGTTGTTTAAATCCATGGTAGGGTACAATTCCACTTCTTCCAGAGCATCCCTTATGTGGAATGCCCTCCCTGCTCACTTCAAATGAATTGAAGACATTAGATCATTTTCTACAGAACCTTTGCACGCTCTAAATGCCGACAAATTGGCTATATCCCTATATCCCCTCCCTTTTGAAAATGTATTTAAGCAATAAAATAAGGCTTGGAATTTTTTTAAACTCAACTCGGATGGTGAGCCAATTAAATTATGGTGAAAAAGGAGAAGGACAAAATGTTACGAATTATGACTAACTGTCCACCAACGTAACCAGATTTTATACAGTCAGCGAGTGCGACACAATTTTTTGAACATGAATATCGACGGACTTGCCCCTTCTGTTCATGTCTTGCCCGCTCTAGTAATGATTCATGAAGCTGCCCAGTCCACATTCCTTCTCCGTTTTTCTTTCCTTCCAGTTGCATCTTCCTTTCTGCTCTGTTTTACTTTCTCTTTTCGTTTGTCCCTCTTGATATTTGTACTTTGTACTGTTGAGGCATTGAACTGAAGTAATAAAAACCGAACCAAACCAAACCCCCTGCTTCCCCCTCAAAAGCCTTATGCCGTTATTTTCATTTTCTGTGAATATAGTAACACACACAGAGTTCATCCACAAACTCCAGTCCTGCTCGATGAAATCCAGTCGCTTCATTCAAGATTGCGCCTTGCACCATTTCGAAGCCCAGTGTTGGCAGGTGTACGGCCGGCTGCGCAAAGCCCGGCGTATACTTGAGTGACGCTGTGACTGGATTTCATTTAGCATCACTGTACATGTACATGTAACCGGCCCAGTTCCACAATGTACATATCTACATGATTGTATGTGTGACGTTGTGTGACTTTTGATACCTTGCAGTTGCCTGCATTCTGGACACAACAGCTGAGCCCCCACTATTACATGTATCTGCACACACACACAAGCACACACACACATACACACACACACACACACACACACACACACACACACACACATTTGGACCTTTGGAAAGCCCATCGCCGAAGGCGATGATAGCTATTAGGCGAGGCAGTAGTTCTTTTGTCGGGATAAATCATTCGGACGGCGAAAGTCGCGTCCGCAGACACAGACGAACACTCTTGGTTGGGGCTGACTTGGTGGCTTCCGACGGCTACGCTCGCGCCAGTCCCTCCGCTCCTGAGCAAGGTGAGACCATTGCGCCTCCGGGATACAGGTCGCAAGCAGGTCTGAAGCTGCCACATCTCTCCAACCACGCTTGGGTCCATGGCGGGGCTGCGTGTTGGTGCCCTCCACACACACACACACACACACACACACACACACATACACACACACACACAGCACACACATTCAGACTCAGACTCAGACATGCCCATCGCGGAAGCGATGATAGCGAACAGCTATGTTAGACATAGTAACTTATGCTGGGATTGCACCACACGCGCGCGCACACACACACACACACACACACACACACACACATACACACGTACACACTAGTAGTGATTGTCGTATGTTATGTTGTGTCTTGTGTGTTGGGGGGGGGGGGGGGGGGAGAGGCGGGGGTCATACTCTGGATTGGTCTGAATTTGGCGTTTACAGTTGCACATATTAGGCAATTCACACGACAGGCACATGCACGTTTTATAGCTAGTGATTCACGAGAAAAGTGGCTGTGTGGATTCACACGGCTGCACTCGACGACAGGCATGTTTGCATTCAGTTTGGAAGATTTACCCACCAGTTGCCATGCGTATTTCAAATGCCGGGCAACTCTACAAAACATGGAAATAGTAGCAAGGTGAAAGGAACTGCGCACAAAATCAAGTCTTGTTTCATGCTTTTTTGGCACGAGATGACACTGGATGATTGCAGATCAACCAATACAACCATATACTGATGTGTTTTGCCTACAGGATAGGACTCGCATTCGTACTCCGAAGGTCCAGGAAGGAATGGATGACATAACCCAAGCTGTAAGATCATTGTTTGTCTACCCTTATGCATTTCTATGGAACTAAGGATTTGCAGAAAGTGTGACAGAATCTCATAGCAATCTCCAATCAATGGGAAATAATTGTTATGATGTAGCATGAAATAACATAATGTCACCACTTGGAATTTGCCGGGTGCTAATTTTGAAGCTACTAGTAGTCTGTTGTGTCTGACGAATGGAATGAGCACACCAGCAGCATCTTCGAGCGCCTTGTGAAGCTAAGAATGCTTGCAAACATGCCAAGCTACTCTCTCTCTCTCTCTCCCCCCCCCCCCCCCCCCTCTCTCTCTCCCTCTCTCTCTCTCTCTTCTTGTCTAGATATTGGATGAGATGTCAAATTTACTGGACAACTGCACAAAATTGCTCGATGTAAGTCCTGAACTTCTCCCGTCTAGCAATAATATAGAAGAACGTGCATTGCAGACTCAGCGATGGACGTTCAGGTTGGTTGTAACTATGAGTTTCATGCCGTTGGGCAATCATCAGACAACTGATACTCGGGTCTACCCAACAGTATCCTTATAAACACATAGGGCCACAAGCATAAACAAATTTAGCGCTAAGACTGGTGTACTGGCGCGGGCTAAGGCGCGACAGTAGAAGTGCCAGGAGGGTGGCGGGCAACAGGCAGGTGTGAGCATGAAAGCGCGGAAAGAGACAATGGGGAGGCAGTGTACAGCAGATGGGTGGAGGTGCCAGGAGGATGGCGGGCAATGGGCCAGTGCGATCGCTAGGCGGTCTTTGGTTGACGGGCAGCCGTGAGCAGAGTGGCATAGCCAACAACAAGCCAAGGGATTGTGTTATTAATAATTGATATTGGGGTGCAATCAGCCTTATCAGCCATGCAAGCAAAGTTCTCCTTAAAATCATTCTTCGCCGATAGCAGCCGCAGGTGGAGCAGCTACTTTCCGTTGAGCAGGCAGGGTTTCATGCAGGCCGTAGCACGGTGGAGGAGATCTTCAACTTACGGATGCTGATTGAGAAAAACCGAGATCGGCAGCTAGCCCTGTACCACAATTTCATTGATTTTCGTAACGCATGGAGGTCAGGTGGTTGGCGTGACGGGCTTTGAAAGGTGTCTCTGATAGACCGATGTAAATCTTGCTGGTAGATTCGGCAGTGGCCTCGTACATTATCTCTTTGGTCTGGCACTCTCCGCGCAGCAGGCAAGACTCCTTGATTCTGCAGTTGCATGCCTTAGTTTGTTCTGGCTCTCGCAGGTTGCTCTTGTTGTGGCTGCTGATCACCGCTCCCATGTTGGGCATGCAGCTGTAGCTCACTTTCAGGGTGTTACGGTTGAAAATCTTCCCGAGCTTGGATGTTTTCGGGAAGTGCCTGGAGACAAGGCTCAGGAACCTACCAGCAACGTTTGTGCTGACATTCTTGGAGTACGGGGGGGGGGGGGGGGGGGTTGAACCATATGACCTTCCGGCTGCGGTTCTTCCTGCCCCTCTGCTCACGTGCCTCGGGCTGAAAGCTCAGCACTTCATTGTATCCACTGGCCTTTAATGCGGTCTGGGACACGGGGGCTGCATGGTTGAATGCCTCGGCGTCGCTTGATATAGTGGAAAGGCGCTTGTTGACAGCAGCAGGGATGTTGTTGGTGATCCCAGGCGGGTGATTGGACTGCTTGCTGACGTAGAGCGGGTTGTCATTCGGCTTTCGGAAGGGTTGAAATTTCCCTGAGTCCAGGCTCATCGTGACATCCAAGAAATCCACCACCTTCAAGTTCGCTTCGATGGTAATTCTTAGGTGGAAGCGCTTGAAGATTTCCGTCAGCTTTTTTCTGAGGCGGTCTGCAGCCTGTGGGCTGGTGTCCTTGAGAGCGGCCAGTCCATCGTCTCTATAGAGGCGATAGCGGATCTATCGACTAGCGGATCTATCGACGTGGCTTGAGAGCTGGTTGAGAAGAAAGGCGCCCACAAGTTCGCACGTCTCGGCGCCATCGTAACTTTTCATTGTTACGTCAAACATGTCGCCCTTGTCCTTCATCCAGGGGCGGCCATCATGGAATAGGATCGATTTTCGGGCCTGAAGGATGATGTCCATTTCACGCGGTTAGATCGTGGTGAATTGCTCCGCGAACGATAAAGCCTGACGGAGGAGCTGCTCACCAATTGACGGGTAGAATTTTACCACGTCAAAGCATTGGGGAACGTGTGGCGCTGTTTGTCGGGTATCTCCTTGAACCACTCGTTCACTGACATGGTGTTCCTCCATAGGTTCACGGCCGTTTGGCAATGCACAGCAGCCACGATCTTCTCTTGCTCACCACACCCACTTCCGTCTTAGCTGGGTCTTTGTGGTCCACTTTCACGACAATAACACACACAGAAGTCTCTGCTGTGAGCACGGTGGCTCGGCAATGGCTTTATTTATTGATATTATATCCTCTTCCTGATTTTTTTTTTTTTTTTAAATAATTGGATGCATAGAGATAAGAAAAATAAGCACAAGATACTGCTGCTAGTCGCACAGCAAAGCACACAGAAAACGACAAGATGTTACAATGAATGTAACAACACCCGTCCAAGCTAAAGGACCTACAACCCTGCCCCAGGGCGGTATCTTGAAAAACCCCACACACTCACCACACGGTCATCATCCAGCTTCAGTTCAATCACAATACAGTAGTATTCTTCCCATGCAGATTCAATTGAACTCCCCTGGCGCTAGCTATACAATCTGAAGCTGTACGTAACCATACAAAGGCCCGCGACGCACACACCACCCCTAGGTTTTTTGTTTTTTTTTAACTAAAAAAGAAAAGCAGTCGTAACTGCCACAGCCACATGGCCAATAAGATAATATCGATAAACACACACCCAGAAGTCAGGGGTGGGAGGGTGGGATACAAACTGCACCAACGAAAAGCCACTGCGAAGTGACAGGAATGCGGTCAAGCACAACATTTTTGCTGAAGCAAAAAGTTGCAGGGAAATCCCAAAATCAGTGCGATTTTACATGAGCCCCAAATGTTCAAGTTACCCACAAAGACACAAGCTTTCCAACTCTCTTTGGCCGTTGGAAAGCATACCGTTAATGAGTCTGCAGGGCAGCGCTCTAGCGAAGTTGTTTTATGATCTTTGAGTGTTATAAATGCTTCTGACTTAGCCAGTACATCCATCCTGTTTTGAAGATCTAGACCCTCAGCGATCTCCCTCGCCTCGCTGTTGACTTCATCGTAAGCATTCTCAGGCGCGATCTTGTAGTTTTTGGTGATGTTCTCTCTCATCAGCTTGCTGTATTGCTCTTTTGGTACTTGGTACAAATTCCGGGTTTTATCGGCTTTCACGATTGATGTCCTGAGAGTTTTTGATCGTTTTGGTGTCTTTTCTCATAGCGTCTTGGAGGCTGTCTGATACTTGGCGGAAGCTGAACATTTCAGCCACGCGAATGAGGTCCTCTTCAAAGGCCTTCAATTCATAGACTTGCGGAGGACAGGTCCTGCTCTTGAAGCCGAAGCGTTCTGGTTGCTCCTCTTCGCGATCCTCGCCATTGAGGTAGAACAAGGTGGCCCACCTCATACGCTTGATGACTTGCTCAATCCTGTCAATCAGACATTTCCGGTACTGCTTGTGTGACGGTAGAGGGATGTTCTTCAGGGAATATCCCAGTTGTATTGGCCTTCAAGCGTCCATAGCTAGCTTGCAGTGTAGGGGTAGAGTGCTCGACTGGTTCATTACCAGCAATTATATGACATCCCACAGAGTCCGAAATTCCGTAAAATATTTGCGCATTTACTGCAGAGAGTGATCTTGGAAGGAAGAAAATTGCTCTGAACTATGGCCATGATCGAAATGTAAGGCATCAAACCAGTGAACCACGCCAACAAGACAAACAGTTACACAACGAAAAAAACGAAAGTGAAAAACATTGAACAACCGATGCGATCTCAACTCCTAAGAATCATGATTTTCTTCTCCACTGAAAAGTATCTGTTACCTTGGTGATCTTGAGGAAATAGCAAGAATTGACCTTCTTCATGGTCATTTCTGAAGCTTCCTCCAAATATTGTCAGCCAACAAACCACAGCATTGTCACCTGGCTAGTCTGATCTCTGTCCTCAAGAAGGACCAGTTCCAAAAGATTGCAGGTCCAGTGCGCTTTCTAGCTTCAAAGATCTGGGAAATCGCCTCATTCTGCACATTTCAACCAGCTTCTCAATTGTTTCTGGCTTGACATTGAACAGCAAGAAGATGAAAAGCACTTCTTTCTCAGTTTTTTTCGAGTAAACTACCTCTCCAACCGCGTGGCTTTCTCTGAAGGCCATTTTGTAGGGGCTTTCCCATGGCCATGTGCTGGATGCATGCCATGTCGATGTACTGACATGACATGATGCATGCTGTCATGTACAAGGACGTAGACTACTCACAGTACTCAGTGACACATATGTATACAGTCAGTACTCTGTACGACTCGTAGTCTAGAGTGACTGAGTCAGGGAGTCGAATTTTATGACTGCCTAGCCTAGCGCCTGTTGACAAATAGCAACTTGTTTGGTGTAAATTTCGTTTAGAGTGGCTGACAGCTTTGCCAGCTTGATACTTGGTTTCATTCTGCAGGTCACTGGTTTGAGAATACAGTGTTTTTTGCGGCTTCTTCAACGGATATTGTGCACCATCATCAAGGTGGTTACCTATTTGTGATGCAGCTTCAACTAAAAGTACAACAACAAAAGCAACAGCCTACATTCAACAGCCACAGCCCATGACAACCAGAACAACAACAACAACGACTACAACAACAACAACACCAATTCTCGTTCCTCATATACTGGCACACACAGAGACATAGACAGCAATAGCGGCAACACACAAATTAAAGGGTAGTTGGCCGCAGCCAGATGTGACACTTGCGCAGCTAGTGGGGAAGCACTAGCCATCGGTATTCAGTATGAAAAGATAGAATCTTGCGGCCTACGTATATTGAATGCCTTGAAAAACGCGTCAACATGTTGAAGGTATGACCAGCATCAGCCAAGGACTGATGGTCAAAGCAAATACCAAAATACACTGCTATAAAAAAACACACGATCCTTGAAGGGTGGTGGCGTTCCTACGGATGCGGAAAACTCGGCCTTTAGCCGAGTTTGACGCGAACAGTGAAATATACAAGTAATAATAAACAGAACTACAAGGACACATTATGTCACCATAATGTCGGCTGCGCAACCAGTCACTCATCTGACATAAGAATTTTTGAAGCAGCTAGTTGTCTGGAAACTGGGCATGCTTCCAGTTTGTGTCGGTACTTTCAAACTCTGGTTGCTGCAGGTGAAAAGAGATTCTCGCAAACCTATTAAAATGCAGTTGCAGGCAGCGGTGTACAAGAATAAAAAGAAACGGAAAGAAATAACAAGGGTGCTT